CTCCCTCTCCCTCTCCCTCTCCCTACCTCCTCACGCACAGCACATCACATCATGTGACGGCACCGTCAAACTAAACGTCACAGCTTTCATACAATGCAATATCATGCAAAACAGTGGTATCGCACTCTGCACACACCACCTAGCACGATGTCGGTGCGAACACTAATTTCAAATTTCTCCATGTATACATGCACTACAATACCATATACTACACTACACACGACAATACGCCGGATTAGACTACACTAGACTAGACTAATTACTAAACAGACTAGACTACACTAGGCTGTACTACTTGGTTACGATAGCATACAAGGCAAGACAAGAAACGCCAGGACAAGACGAGACAAGACACGCACGCATTTATAGACCTACATACACATGGGCATGAACAACGAAAATTCACTGTACACACACAAATACACACATGCATGTACACGCATACACATATGAACTCACGAATGCCTACATACACACACACACGAACACACAGCTAACACTACAAACCCACATGCATGTATGCATGCATGCAGGCATACATACATCCATCAACTACATACATACATACAGACATACATACATACATACATACATACATACATACATACATGCATGGATACTTACAGACGTGCATGCATACATGCATTTGTACGGACATACACACACACACATGCTTACAACCATGCATGCATCAATACATACATACATGCATCTGTCTGTCTGTGTAATTATGTGTGTGTGTGTGTGTGTGTGATGGTGGGCGGGTGGGCATTTGTAAGTCTGCATGTCTGTCTGGCTGCTTGTCTGCCCGCATGCCATGAATGAGTAGGAGTAAACTCCAACTCCTACGCCTCCATCCCTTCTTGAAGATGCTCCTCGCTCGAGCTAAGACGTTTCGAAGCTTCGCAAAGTTAGTATCTTCCTTCTGGTGCCACATGCAGGAATGCACGGCTCACATGGTATCCATACAGCCTCAGCCGAAAAAAAACCAAAGCCCTGAACATTCAAAATCGAATCCCACACTCTACATCCTACATCCACAAAACCCAGAACCTTCAAGTCGGCAACTCTTCAGTGCAAGGCGCAACCTTCAGGGCTACGGCTACGGTACGCCACGCGGTGTATACTAAGCTGCAAGAGTAGGGTTTAGGGTTTAGGGCTTAGAATTGTAGGTGAATCCGGAAGCATTGGTATGCTTCATGCTCGTATGCCATTGTCTGCGTGGCAATAGTCAGAATCCGAGCGATAACCATGAAATAGCCCTAAACTCTAAACCCTAAACGCCCTAAACCTTAAACTCTAACCCTAAACCCGTAAACCCCACACACACACACACACCCTACACCCTAAACCCTCAAGGCGAGTGGAACCCTCGTAGCCAGGACGAACGGAAGGGTGATGTAGCGGAGGCGCCGTATAAGAATTAGAATATCCTTCGTAGCAAGTTATAAACGGGCTCGTTCGCAGTACAACCATAATAAGGAACCTCAAAATATGGGTCTTCATGCTAGACTTGACTTTTGCAATATATTCTACTATAGTTTTTAATAAGGAGCCCGAAATAGTATTGGTAAAAAACCTAAACCCTACTAAACCCTACTGTACTAAACCCCTAAACCCCACTAAACCCCAAAATCCAAAACCCTAAAACCCCAAAAACGTCCCTAAACCCTAAACCTTCCTTCATCCTAAACCTCAAAAACCCTAAACCCCTGGGTAATTAATTAGGCTCCTCTTGGGCCGGGCCATGCCTGCTCAGCTTCTGCGAGCTTGGCACGTAGCATCTCTACCTGAAATGACGCTTTTGGGTTTAGGCTTTAGGGCTTAGGTTTCACGGTTTAGAGTTTAGGGTTTAGGGTTTAGGGCTCAAGGGGCTTAGTTAGTTTTTTGGGGGTTCTGGGCCGATGTTAGGGTTTAGTCTAGGGTTTACATTTTTAGTTTTGTTTTGAGGGGTTGGGCTTATTTTGGGTTTCGGGTTCTTCGGGGCTCGGGGTTTTAGGATTTAATTTAGGGTTTAGGGGTTTAGGGTTTGGGGTGTGCTTCACGGAACTCCTATCGAGGCCGCAGAAACTGGGGACACCGCTTCGTTATCATCCCGAGACACACTCGAGGAATGGCCGCATAATGTAAGAGCCTTAATAATTAGAAGAGGGTTTGGGGGCCCATTATACCATAATTATAACAAGGAGCCCCCAAAATAATATAGGTAATTATTGAGGCACCTATAGTAGGAGTACTACCAGTAGATGGCATCCCTGGTACAGTTGTAGTATAGTAGATACCCGGAGACTTGTGATTGGCAACAAATGGACACCTTTGTCCCTTAACTTCAGATTCGGTGTGCATTCGTTCGTTGAGCCTGTCTAGCACATGCTGCATACAAACCTGCAGTACCCGTTGTCGCCACGTCCTGCAGAGTCCTACAACAGCACAAAGTGTTGGCTGATCGCAGTGACGACTTCACAAAAGGCTGTGTAAACGATCGATGTGTATAACATTAACAATGCTGTAACGAAAACGCGATACTGAACTCAGAGTCACGAGAACTCTCTGCAAGAAGGATATGACGAATCGTCACAGTGATACGCAGGTTCAGTTACAGCTTTTGGAAAGTCTGCTGTAGGTTGCAAGACACTGTCGGTTTGATCGCGCCGTGATCACTTATAAAACTGGCATGAGAGGACGCGGTATGCTGTGATATTCATGAAGCTCATTTCTGCAATCCTCGGCCTCGGCAAGAGTCTAGTGGCAAAACTCGAACAGCATAGGGGAGAGAGTGGTCCGAAGACCAGTCATCCTAGTAGCAATCCCGACCTGCCCTTAACCCGAAGCCCGAAGCCCTCAACCCTAAGCCCTCAACCCTAGACCCAAAGCCCTAAACCCAAAGCCCTAAGCCCTAGGCCCTAGGCCCTAAGCCCTAAACCCGACCCGCCTCCTCTTCAAGCTTCGACAGATGCTCTGCCTCCTCGTTTTTCGACCTCGCGCTCGGCATTACATGGGCCTTGAAGATTAGGGTTTAGGGTTTAGGGTTTAGGATTTAGAAGCGTGCTCGGAGGGTCTTCATACTACATTACTACATAACTACATAATACAGGGGCCTTAACAATTGTACTATAACTATAAGAAGGAAACCCAAAATAGTACTAGAATAAAGGACCCTTAATAATTATACTATGGCTATAGCAAGGAACCCCCGAAATAGTTTGTACTTTTTAGGTTTCTATATTCAATATCTTGAGGAAGCTGTGGAGAGAATATTACTCATCACAAGTTGGGCTGCTAGATTTGGAGCCAGTCATGGTAGGCAAGTTGCTGAAATCAGGAAGCCTGCTTTCAGATTTGCATGCTAGGTGCTAACTTATGAAGATCTTCGCCTCTAAGCCTCTAAGCGTACCTAAACCCTAAACCCCTAAACCCTAAACCCCTAAACCCCTATAAACCCCTAAACCCCTAAACCCCTACACCCTAGACACTCTGAAGGCTGGTCCGAGCCAAGGAGCGCATTCAGCTTGATGAACTTCGCGCGGGCGGCATAGTTCAGGGTCGAGTACGTCTCTTCGCCTGGAGGCTCGGAGAAGGTTTGGGTTTAGGGTTTAGGGTTTAGGGTTTAGGGTTTAGGGTTTAGGGTTTAGGGTTTAGGGCAAGGACAGTAGGATGAGGGTACCCATAGGCCCAATAGTAGTAGTTCCTTTTTGGGATTCCCTAATAGGATTCTAAATATGAACCCCGAAAAGGAACTACTTTAGGGCCTATGGGTATCTTGGGCTCGGGTTTAGGGTTTCCGTGTTCAGAAGTTTAGGGCTTGGGATGCAGGGGGTTTAGGGGGTTTAGTGTATGGGGGAGAGACTTGCCAGCGACTTTTCACTGTAGCTGGAACAGACATGGCCAACTTCAGACCGAATTAGTCGTGAACAGAAGTCACGCGGTGAACCCCTACGATTAGGGTTTAGGGTTTAGGTTCTAGGGGTTTAGGTTTAGGGTTTGGGGTTTAGCAGATCTGCCGGGCAACTGTTTGTCTTTGAGGGCGAAATAGCGGCCATCATGGTGGTCAGCGCATTCCCTCCCAAGGACTCCTGCATCGACGGGCTTCTACCTGTGCATGCCAAGTACAGTATACTCTTCCGCTGCAACATCATTCATCATCTTGGTGTTGAATTGTACACCGACAGAGAGTCACGAGCTACCATTTGTTGCACCAAGTTGTGGGGTATTAAACCCTAAACCCTAAACCCCAAATCCTAAACCCTAAACCCAGAACCTGCAGTATACCAGCTGGGGGAAGGAGGGCTAATTCCTAAGACCCGTGAAATCCTCCAGAGTCCACGTTGTGGCATTTTTAGGGTACCTCAAACTCTACCCATAGGCCCCTTAGTAGTTCCTTTTTGGGGTGACCTTGTAGGATTCTAAGTCAAAAAGGAACTACTATGGGGCCTGTGGGTACGTACTACTTCTTCAAGCCCCCAGATCAGGGTTGGACGACTATGTTGATTATCAGCATTATTGCTTGCTATTCCAGTTACCACCCTTGTTACTACGTGTTGTTGCTACTATTTTCTTACCCTGGATCTATATGAAATAAACCAGTCTCTCAGCCGATCCTGAAGGACCCGCGTCAACTTGGAGTTGCCTTGCAGGGGAGAAAGAATGAGCTTTAGGGATTTGGGGTCCGTGGCTTTTGGGAGCTTCGGCTTAAGTGCTTAGGGTTTGAAGCTGAAGTCTAGCAGCCGCTGGCTTTAGGGCTGGAGGTATGCTTTTGTAACATGCAGAGTCAATGTAAAGCTCTGGGCGAAAGCCCTGACCGAGCTTTGCACAACGGAGGACCAAGATCCCTGTAGCGTTACTTGATGCAGCATGGCCACGGTAGGGAATGAACACCTTCTTGCCGCCGGCAGCCATCGAACTGAGGGTGTTGATAACCTTGGATATCAGGGGCCTGAGTGCTGAGAAAAGGTTATGTTTTTTTGTTTGAGGGGGGGGTACGCTATAGTATACCGATAATTATGAGGAAACCTACGGAATAGTACGATAAATTACCCAGGCTTCTAAAACCTTAGGCGCGATAGCTGCCATGATTCCGATACCTGTGATCACATGCACAGGATGCCCTGCGACCAAAATTGCTAGTGACGCTGGTAGAATATGCACTATTGGGTTGAGGGTTTATTGGTTTGGGTTTCAGAGTAGAATACCGTGTGATGCTGTACTATATTCAACTACTGTCTTTTCAGGGGTCACGCAGAAGGCAACGAAAGCTCCGAGAGCCCAGGACATGTCCAATTAATTCTAAGATCCGAAGAACCCGAAGAAGTGTTGGAGTTCTTCCTCCAGCTCGGCGGCAGGAGCAGAGGTATCCTGTCCTAAACCCTAAACCCAAAACCCCAAACCCCAAACCCCAAACCCTAAACCCTAAACCCAGAACCCCAAGCCCTAAACC